GTCTTTTGTTTAGCTGGCCCTATCATTCTCTTAGTGACTCTTGTACTTGTTAGACTACGTCCTTGGGGGTTGGTAATCAATTTTGTATTATTTACTAATGTTTTATTTCGAATGGGTTAATTCTTAAACTTCCTTAGCTTGCCTTTGCTTTCTTTAAAGTCAATATGTTTTGTAATTATTGGGTAATGAGGGTTCTCCTACGTAGGTGTTAGATTAGGTGCCTGCACGGCCCAGTATTCATGATAACACTCATCATTCATCATTCCTCATTTTGCAATTAGTGTGATCAATAATGCAACATTCGCATACATACATGTATTATAATGAGCAAGAACAAACATACATAATAAAACGTGAAATCATAACCATTACCTACTTCGAACAAGGCCCGAATCCCTTAAAAGTCTTGCTTCTTCCCTTTTTGGTTTCATTTTGCTTTTCCATGGTTCACAAACAATCAGAATAATGTGAAGATCAATAAACAATGTCTAGTTCTCTGGATTAAATACAACACTATAAATCCTAGGTCAAACCTTTAATTCCCATACCCAATTTATGACTTTTTCCACCATAAGTTTCATATCAAAAACCTCCTACATCGATAATTACCCATTAGATTATGTTGTATGGATCAAAAAAAGAATTCAGAGAGTGAAAACATTATCTTTAGCCTTAAGAATGGTGAAAACCATCATGAAAGCACCAGGGGTAATCTCAAAACGTTGTTGGGGTTTATTTCTAACATAAGTCACATATGTTCCACTAAAACGGGACTCACACCGTTAGAGAGGCACCGCCGTGGCATCATAAATTTACGTCATAGTAGCTTGCATGATATAGAAATCTAATTAATGAAACTTTAAGAAACTTTGCATTGACTTACTTCTTAACTTTTAGACTTAACTCTTAATTTTTTTGACTTTGATCTTAAATTTTCTTGAATTGGATTATGGATAAAATGTTCATGATCTCATGTTTATGGATGATTTAATTATATTCAACTTTGAGGGTTCATACGGAATTAGAGCATGAACTAATAAACTCAAGGACTAAAAGACACTCTTTATTTCAAGACTGTTCAATTTATAGGGATCATACGAAATTATGGGCATGAACAATTTAACTCAAAGACTTCATGGATAACATGTAATAGTCTAATGATTATAAATATGAACTCAAATGGTTTAGAAACTTATTGCTCAAAACTTAGGACTTGAATATGCTACTCACCTCAAAGATACTGAAATACTTGGAGTTCATGCGTTTTGTCATGGGCATGGACAACTCGACTCAAGGGTGAAAATATCAATAAAGAACTCATGTATATGACTCTTATCATCCTTATACTTACTTCCTCAAACTTAGTTCAAATCAAGGGTTTACCTCAAAGTATTTACTATTGAACTCAAAAGCTTTCTTGAAATATACTCTTGACTCTCTCTCTTGAATGAGAATTATGAATTCATGAGTTTTGGTTATTGAAATGTAGGATCTGATGATGACAAAGTAGGCTTATGAATACATTCTCTTCGTTCTCATATACTCACTTGCTCGAGTCCTGAAACAAGTTACTAGAAGTCGTAGAAGACTCCACAGAAGGACTCCTAGGGCTTTCTTAGAATGTTGGAAAGAATTCTCAAACTTAACCCTCAATTATAACTTAAACTTGAGTTTTGAATTCAAGGTTATAATCATGTTCGTAATGATTTTAGGTTTTTAGAGACAGCTTAGAGTAGTTAGAATCGAAAAGGAGTTAAGGTGCACATTAAACGAACTCAAACGGAGTAGTCAAGGCAAACTGGATGGGGTAGGAGAACCTAGGGCTATGGGTAACCCAGGGACATCCTCTGAAGTACATAGAAGGGTTTGGGGCTCTCTTGCAGGTGCATCGTGCCAGGCCCCAATCTAGCAAATATGCCTGACATTCTTGCTCGTTTTCTCACCCTAACTCACCTAAAATCAAACGGTTTCTTCCCCGATAACATGTCTTTTATTACTTAACTTACATACACTCCAATCTAATGAAATCGACATGGAAATTACTCGATTTCATGTCGATAAATCATCAAAATCCCAACACAACAAGATTTAGAATGAACTTCAAGAGCACCTCTCAAGAACTAATCAAGGACTCTAATCTTTAAACTTTAAGAATGATATTTTTCTGAAAAATAACATGATCAACATGTTGATGACCTAAACCAGCAGTATGAAAGATTACATACCTCTTAGGTATTAAACTATGGCGAAATTCCACAACTAAACTCAAGAACATTGGTGAACGCCTTCAGCATTTCCTCATTTCTCTTGTTTCACTTCTTGAACTTTCAACTAAAAGCCTACACGCGTATATTAGGATTATAAAAATAAACCTAAAAGGATTATACTCTAAAAATATAAAATGAATTAAATCTGATTGTGTAAGTAAAGGACAAAAATACCCTTACTATTTTCGGCTAACTTTGGTTAGCTTGAGAGCCTAACCTCAAAAAGTCATATATCACTTATCCAAACTCGAAAATTAAAAAACTCGGCGGCGTTGAAAAGATAATTCAAAGATCATTTTTATGATATCTTGTAAAAGACCTAAATCATCAAGTAATAGGAGTTATGATCATTTGAATTTGACGCAAAACTCATACTTAACTTAACTCTCCAACTTTGAAAGTTTTGCGGTTTCCAATTTAGTTCTTCTTGAAACTCTTGTTGCTAAATCTAGTTAACTGACTTTAATAATTAAGAAATTTTTGATTCCCTGGTAAAAATCTCTCTTTCTAAGAAGAACTTTTCGGTTCTTAGTTCAAAAAAAATTCTGGGGTGTTACAATATATCCCTCTTAGGATAATTGTCCTCGAATGACTAGGTATAGAATGGTGTACTCTTACTAAGATTTGCGTCTAATGGTTTGCTCTTATTAAATTCAAGATTAACACAAATCTTTAGGTTCTGATTCTATACCTCTTTTTAGGGAATCTGATCTCAAACTATTACTCTTTACCACCACATTCAAGCATAGTAATCTAACAACTCCATGAACTCCTACTAACTAACTCTTTGGAATCGAACTAAGGGCTCTTATTTAAATATTTGTCGTAGTAAAATATCATCCTCTTATCCCTACCTATTTATAACCTTAGATAGAATCATCACACCATCATAAAACAATAAGATCATCAACCTCCTCTTTCTAACATCACTTCATTACTAAAGGGGCCTCCGAAACGATATCTCCCCTATTTCTTAGAACTCATTACTATCTCGTGCTCAATACTTGACTTGCTTTCTCATCTTATCTGCTCCTCCTTAGGTCTAAATCTAACATTTGAAAGCTATGGACCTATTTCACATCTCTAACTAGTATACATTTTCTTAATGATCTTTTTATACTTGTGATTTATCCAGATATCACTACCCTTATCTTAAGGTTAGGTATCTTATACTCACATTCATTTCAACAACCATCTCAATATCTCACCCATTCTATAAAAGGTGTTCTAGATTAAAACTAAGACTAACATCATCACCCTTATGTTGTCATTCTTTTGGATCATGAGAGTCATCTCAAATTCAAACTTATTGTTTTTTACTAAGCCCGGATATCAATATGATTTCTCGCTTACTATACTATACCTCAACACTACTGTGGCAATTTACAAACTCTTGTCCATAAGGTCCTCATGACAATTAGTCACTCCTTAGCTATCAGTCTCCATGTTCAAATTACCATCACATTCCACTTCACAACTTCAGTGCTACTAATTAACTTACTGTGCATTATCTCTCAAATAACTCTATCATCCTCTGAATACCATTAGTTTTCCTTTCAAAAGTCGTAAGCCTAGATTAATCTATCACATTATGAATACTCTAGATCTTTAATATATATATATTCATCACTTACACTTGGTCATTACTAACACATGACACATCATCATAACCTCTTTCAGTTAAGGTATAATCTTACTCATTTTGACTTGCAACACTTACTCTACCTTCTATTTTGAACTCTTTACAACTCTTGACTTCTTAGTCTACCACAAGGGAAACACTTCATTAATAACTTACAAGGTGCGTGATTATAGAAACATGGATTGTCATAACACCACCCTTTGTAGGATTACTAAAGCTCTTTATGCTTTCCTCTAACTATGGCTTTATCACTAGTACTGCTCATGATCTAATAACTCATGCTACTCGTTTGGGTGAAAATCATACCCCAAGCTTTAAACGTAATTCTTAAAAAGGACCTCAACAGAAACAAGGCATAAAGTAAAAGAGTACAACTCAATTTTTGCTTAAATTCACAATTCGTAAGAAGGCATTACTCTGAAATGGAACACTTAACTTACTCATGGGATTCTGTCAAGACCCTTTGGATTCTCATGAATTCCTCAAAACCCTTGCAAAGAACAACTCATTAACATAGAACGGACTCTACTTTTCAACCACATCTAGTATGATGGGTAGTCGAATGAATTAGAGAAAGCACGAGTTAGAATAGATCTCTATGACTTAGCTTTTTTGCATGATTAAGAGTATGAAAGAAGGAAAACTTATCTTAAATTTCATTAGTCCCTCATTTATAGAATTAGGGCCCTAGTAACAATAAACAAGACCCTACTTTACACGACTTCATAGACACCCTAGGACTATTGAATCCTGTCCTCTAATACCAAGTGTGTCACGACCCGACTCTACACCATGGACGTGGCCGACACTCCAGAACCATTGATGTTCCCCAAGCGAACCAAAAATAACTACAAGCGGAAGACAAAGTGAAGCATGCAAAAGCTTAAAAATGAATAAAATCAATAACTCAAATAGAAAGCTTTAACTTTAAAAATTAACTCTAAATAAAATAATATATTAAACTTGCCAAAAAATACACAATTAAAGTCTTTAAAACATTTTGTAAAATAGATGAATAATATAGACTTCTTTACTATACTGACTATTTATGCATCCTCTAACTTACAAGGATAGAAATTGATACAAGACCCATGACCTCCTAACTAAATTGAAAAGTAAATGAAATCCTTCGGAAGCTAGGATTCTCACCATAGCTAAATCGAACTCTTGGATGTATCAAAGAAGCTCCTACTGATGATCCTGAATACAGGTGTCTGCATCATGAGATGATGCAAGACAAATTGCTTAGTACATGAAATTTACGAGCATGTAAGGGAAATCTAAAGCATTAAACATAGGCTTGAACTTGATAAAAATGAAACATACTTACCTCTTTTCGAAAATACTTAACTCAAGGAATACTCAATGACAATGAAATAATCAACTTACTCTACTAGGCATACTCATGAATAAGATACCCAACCTACAAATGAAATGCTTAAGTCAAAGATGTGATACTCGACTATAGATACTAAACTCAATATAAAACAATAATACTCATGCTATATAAAAAAAAATCTTTATAAACAATAAAAGAAACTTAGTTCGTTAAAGAAAATGCAATAACAAACTCAACTTTACTTATATAAGAAAGTAATGTAGTTTTTGTGGGAGATTCTCTAATCAACAACCATCAGCATGAGCCTAAGTGATGGTACAACATCTTACTTCACGTTGCAAGAGGACGGTCCTATACCTTGCCATCATTATAGAACTTGAACTAATAAGTGGATCCACTAGTCTATACTAAAAATTAGTAAGGAATCATCTAAAAAGTATGACTCTTCTTCTGTCCATGTTTGCTACATGGTTTATGGGGTTCGAGTTAATATGAACTCGCGCCCCATTGCTGTTGCTCAATTCTACTTCCAAAATACTTAGCTCATATTTTTTAAAAACTACTTTTTCTTTGGTTGGATGTAATTTCTCAAGCTTAGCTTTAAAAGCTCTTTTGGAAATCATAGTTTCCTCTTTACTAAAAACTAGCCAAAGGATCTGTTGGAACTCTAGCTTCCTTCATTGCTCAAAATGTGAAAACATTTGTAACTCTTAGGGAATACATAGTTCCCATATAACTTTTGAGAAATGAACTCAACTCTTTACTCTTTGCGTAACTTGAAACTTTTGATCTTAAATAAATTCTTTGGGAATACTTAGTTCCCTTATATTTCTTGAACGAAAGACTTCAACTTTTACTGTTTACTTAACTCAAAAAATGAGCCTTAAAATGAGGTTAAAACGTTTAATAAGACTGTTGAAAACTTTAAGAAACTTTTTTTTGACATACTTCTTAACTTTTAGACTTTACTCTTAACTTATTTGACATTGATTTTAAATTTCCTTGAATTGGGTATTCAAGATTCATGATCTCATGTTTATAGATTATTTTACTATATCCAACTTGGAGGGTTCATAAGGAATTATGAGCATGAACTACTCAACTTAAGGACTCAAAGACACTTCTTATTTCAAGATCGTTCGACTTATGGGGTTCATGCAGAATTATGTGCATGAACAATTCAACTCAAAGAGTTCATGTATAACATGTAATAGTCTAGTAATTATAAATATAAACTCAAATGGTTTAAAAAATTACTACTCAAAACATAGATCTTGAATATGCTAATCATCTCAAAAGTACTCAACTAATTAGAGTTCATGCATATGTTATGGGCATGAATAACTCAACTCAAGGGTAAAAATATAAATAAGGAACTCATGTATGTGACTCTTATCATCCTCATACTTACATTCTCAAATCATAGCTCAAATCAAGGGTTTACCCCAAAGGATTCACTATTGAGCTCAACAACTTTCTTGAAATATACTCTTAACTCTCTCTCTCTCTCTGTCTCTCTTGAATGTGAATTATGAATTCAAGAGTTTCGGTTCATGAGATGGAGGGTATCAAGATGTAAAAGTAGACTTATTAATAAATTCTCTTCATTCTCATATGCTCACTTGTTTGAGTCTTGAAACAAGTTACTACAAGTTGTAGAAGACTCCACAAAAGGACTCCAAGGACATTCTTATAATTGGAAAGGATTCTCAATCTTAAACCTCAATTCTAACTTGAATTCGAATTATGAATTCAAGGTGATGATAATATTAGGAATTATTTTAATTTTTTTAGTAGCTTAGAGTAGTTAGAATCGAAGATGAGTGAAGATGCACTTTAAATGAACTCAAACGGAGTAACCGGAGGGAAACTTGATGGGGAAGGCGACCCTGGGTCTATGTGTAGTGCGGGTAGCCAGCCCTTGAAGTATAGAGAAGGTCTTGGGGTGCTCTTGCAAGAGCATGGATCAAGGCGCCAACCCAAAAAATATGTTGAACATCCTTGCTCAAATTCTCACCCTAACACGCCTAAATTCGAGTGATTTCTTCCCCAATCACATGAATTCGATTACTTAACTTAATTGCACTCTGGTCTACTGAATATAACACTAATATTACTCAATTTAATCTCAATAAATTACAACAAGATTTTGAGTGAGCTTCAACATCACCTATGAAGAACTCATCAAGAACTCTAATTTTTATACATTAAGAATGAAATTTCACGGAAAAATAAGATGATTGATGAGTGGTTGAACTAACTCAACACTATTAAAGCTTACATACCTCTTAGGTATTAAACCCATGGAGAAAATCCGCAACTAAATTCAAGAACCTCAACGAACACCTTCATCCTTTCCACTTTTCTCTTCTTTTCTCTTCTTTTCTCTTCTTGAACTCTCAACAAAAATCCTACGCGTATATTAAGATTATAAAACTGAACCTAAAAGGATTATACTCCGAAAATATTAATAAAAATGAACTAAATCTGATTGGATAAGGAAAAGAACAAAAATACCCCTCACTATTTTCGGCTAACTTTTCTTAATTAGACAACCTAACTTAAAAAGGTTATATCTCACTCATCCGAACTCAAAAATTAGAAAACTCGGTAGCTTTGGAAAGATAATTCAAAAATATTTCCGATTTTATCTTTTAGCACACCTAACACGTCATGTACTAGGAGTTATGATCGTCTGATGTTAACGTTAAACTCATACTTAACTTAACTCTCAAAATTTCAGATTTTCGTTATTTCCAATTTAGTTCTTTGGAACTCTTGTTGCTAAATCTAGTGAACTGGCCTTAGTACTTAAGAAATTCTTAATTCCATGGTAAGAATCTCACTCACTATGTAAACGGTTTGAATCATAGTTAAAAGAATTTCTGGGATGTTACAAATATATAAAATGTTGTTGTTCTCTTTACATGTTCATATGATATCTAAACAATTTAATAATACACATGCAAAGCACATCTGGTTAGATGATAAGAAAAATACAAACTAGATGTTGACTATAAGGTAATATTAGTGATATCAGACTAATAACATGATTAAACCTGATAAAGTATAAATGAATATACAGATAATTGCATTTAACTTATAAATTTTTACCTTGATCATCTTCATAGATTTTTGTGAAAAAGAGATATATATGGTTATTGACATTGAACATCCACAAAAAAATCTGCAATATTATTTTTTTTCAAATCTAATTATTCAATTTTTCACTTAAATAAACAATATTGTTTATTATGTCATATATATTTTTTAAATTGGTAATCGTGTGCAACACACGTGTTAGAAAACTAATATTGTATATAACCTTAAAAGCATCAACTCCTAACTTGAACGCTAAGTTACTGTAATATCCCTAACTGATGTTGTGACTTTTTCGATGACTTGTGACTTTGTTAAAAGAATTATGATTTATCAATGAGTTGCGACTTTTCGAAAGAGTTGTGTCTTTTCCAAAATGTTGTTGAGTTCTTCAATAATTTTTTACTTTTTCAAAGGGTTGTGACTTCTCGAAAAAATCATGACATTAATTTTGGGTAGGTATTTATAGATGTCATGAATGAATTATCACGTTAAAAGAACCTCTTACTTTAAATATATTATTTTAAAATATTTAGGCTTCTTTTTAAAATTAAACCTCACATCAAATGTGAAAATATGTGAATATATTTTAATCATTAAAAAATTATAATTAACAAAATAAATTTTATATTTTGTGATATGGAATAAAAATTTTCATTTTCTCCCTACACTAAATTAATATCCAATAACAATAAAAAGAGTAACAGTAATTAAAAGTCTTATTGATTTAATTAATATACAATTAATGAGAAATTCATCTATTGCACATTAATTCTTTAGTTATAAATTATAAATTATCTTAGTTATTATTAATTAATGAAAACATTATTCACACTCCTTTACATTCTTTAGTTATAATTATGAATTCAATCATTTACATTCTTTAGTTATAATATTATGAAATTCTTACAGTTATAACATTGATTATTTCTATCTTTGATCCTTCTTTATATCAACTTTTTATCAATAATTTTCGAATTAATATATTGACCCTATAATGTGATAACACAGTATTGTTATTTTTTCTTGGACAAATCAGGCTTAGTTGAATAAGTTGAAACTTATTTTAAAATACATGAATGGTATCTTTGTTGGGTGTAATATAAATAAGTGATCATATATAAGATTTTACAGATAAAATATATTCTTCAATTTTAATTTTTAGTTTCTCCGGGAGAAAAGTAAACATTTGTAAGTCAACTATGGTAAGTTAGATATGTATCGTTGAAATGTACACAGCCAATAAAGAAGTCAAAACTTATCAAATTAAAAGTAATATACAAAAATATAAAATGTAGTTGTTCTCCGCATGTTCATATTCAATGACCCGAAAGGTCATTTAATTTTTTTAAAAAAAATGAAATTATCGTTTAAACCATCTTGATAGTTGCCCCGAGTCACTTTTGATCTATTTGTGAAGTTAAGTTTAAAATTGTTGAGCTCTTTGTTAATTACGATTGATTAGTACCAGAATCATTTTTAAATAATTATTTTTAGTTGATGGGAATGGGCGTCCATAATTTATTTAATATATTAATTGAGCAATATTATTAAACAAGTTAGGGATTTATTACTTTATACATAAATAATTATGAAACAAATTAAAAAGGAAAAGAGAAACTACTTATGTTAACAGCAGTGGCGGCGTAGGAACTGCATAATCTTCATCCAGGCAAAAGTTTACAATCTTAAAAATGAACTTGTGAATATGCATAGAGGTCTTCATTGTATGCAATGTTATTATTATAATTATTATTTTAATGCTGGCCTTGAAAATAAAATAACAAAAAGTAGTTTTGTAAATTTAGAAAAAAAATTAGAAATTGATAGTGCGTATAAAGTATTATATGTTTATTTGTGCATCTTGAGGTTTATATTTATTAGGTCAATTTGTTATGTATTTAAGTGGAATGATGATTGCAATGTCATTGAGGGATAATAATAATATCGAGTGAAGGGTGTGTAGGATATGGTTAATAGGTAGG